TCAACCCCAAATCACCAAAATCAACCAGTCGTGACCCGTAATCTCGCCAGCCCTCTCCAACTTCATAAACAAGCATCCAAAGCACTACCGTAGTCAAAATCCACACTAACCTTGTCTCCTCCTTCTTCACCATAGGACCGCAAATCCACCAACGACAGCAACCTCTCTCCCACGACAGTAGCAACGAACCGCCTTAGTCAACTCAGCCCTACCAACCACGGTTACATTGTCTCAATCTGACCCGAAAACCACGGCCACAAACCCGTCCTCATGCGTTATAAATCCATTAACTAGCTAAAGTGATTTTTATATTTAATTAGATTACATATTTTAATGTTTTAAAAATTATAAATTTAGTTTAAATATAATAAAATGCCATATTAAGTTTGACTGTGTTCAATTATGAATATTGAATTGTTAAATTTGATGAATTATGATGTGTGTTAATTTTTTAATTGTACTGGGGAGAGGAATCGAGGCCCGTGTGTATAAATTGCAATGTACAATGCTAGTGTTCTGGCCATGGTTTCTTTGTTTGTTTTTTTTTTCTGTTTTCTTTTCAACATCGGGTGCTGCTTAATTATATCAGTTTAATTATTTGATTGTTTATGACTTTATGCTTATAAAAAAACTTATAATTCAGTATTATTAAAAAACATGTAAAAAAAAGAGAGAGAGTAGCCTAAAGAGTTTAGAGAGAAATATTTGATAAAAGTATATATTCTCCTCAATCTTCTTCTTGAATTTTTAACTTTGCATTACTTTTTTTTGATCTTATACCAAACCTATTTTTCTTTCAATAAATGATATCAGAACTTATGTTTGATTATTTAACATGGTTAATCCAAACTTTTCATTTTAATGTCCTAAGTTAATAAAGAATAATTATAAAATTTAATGTATTCCAACAAAAGTTTGGCTAGATTCCCAAGATATATGAAAGATAATTGAAAAGAGTTTTGATGAATTTATAAATAGAGCAATATTGATTTCAACTCAAAGAAAAGTCATGTGAAATGTATGAAAAAATGATCAACAAGTATTAACAATCATCCACTAGTGTATAGATGATGTCACTTTTGAAATTGTGATCATGCAACTACCGTCAAGCAAGCATTGAAATTTTTGCGAGAATCAAACCAAAAGGCTGATAATGTGAGAAGGATATATTTATAAAAGTTACGTGATAACTTTGAAAAGTTACATATATTTGAATTGAAGAATATTTCAGAATATTTTACAAAAGTATTGATCATATACAATCAAATAAAGATATAGAAAGAAGATAGAAGAGACATGTGTGGTAAAGAAGATCTTACACTCACTACAAAAAAAATTTCATTACGTAGTAGTCATGATTGAGGAGGTGTTGAAAATTAAATTCGATTTTTAGTTTTTTTAAAGAACAAATGATCTAGTCCACCGGTTAGAAATTGATAGGCCAATTAAATTGGTTAACCGATTGAGAAATAATTGACCAGTTCGATCGGCATAATACAATTCATGTTTAGATTATAATTTTTTTGTATTAGTTTAATTCTTTAATTGTTTAGGACTTTATACTTATAAGTCAGTATTATTAAAGAGTATATAAAAAAAAATAACTAAAAATTTTTAGAGAAAAAGACTTAATAAAAAATATACTTTCTATTCAATCTTTTTCTTCATGAGTTCTTAACTTTTAATTATTGTTTTTGATCTTATGCAACATCTATCTTTCTTCCAACACCTGACACCATTACCCTCATATGCTTAGGAAGACAATGATTTGTGGTTGACGCATTTTCTTGGATCAGTAGTTCAAACAGGAGTTGCGGTTTCCATTTTCTTTATGGCCTGGAGAGGGTCTCATCTCTCCATTCTCACCCAGCCAAAGTTTTTGGGAGGAATAATCAAATATGGGGAGAGGACATGGGCTCTTCGGTCAGCAAGCAATGAGAAATTAAGAGACTCCATGCAAACTCCTGATGCAGGCCCAAATTTTTCGAAGTTCATGGAAGAATTAACTCTGAAGCGCAGTACGAGGGATTCCATGTAACAGCATCTGAAGTGATGGAAGCACGGGTAAAGTGGATGTTTCTAACACGGGAGATTCCTCCGTTCGTGATATTACTGAATTGATTCAAGCCCATTAATTGTTCACAACTTTCGAACGTGTTTTTGTCAATCTCATCCTCACTTTCCAAGATCGAGACAATAGCCAAAATTTGTTCAAAGACTTGTCCTCCGAAAAAGCTTTCAAAGTGACCGAGATTGAACTCAGGTTCATTTTTTTTGTGCTTGACACCAAAGGAACAATAACTTTTTCCCGCGCGGGCAGCTATCTCCGCTTCATCAATCTTAGCAGCACTTTCTTAGTGCTGGTATTCTCTTCTTTTGCCCATGAGAAGAATCACTCGAAGAAGATTGATTTAGCTATAACTTTCTTATTGCTAGCTGTAGCTATTTTTCTTGAGCTCTATGCAATAATTTCACTGGTCTCATCAGATGGACAGATCTTTATCTGAACAAGCATCCAAAATTCGAAAGGCCACTGCTCCTTTCCAGCGTCGTAAACAGCTACGGTGGTCAAATTCCTTGGCACAACACAGCTTACTGAGCTTTTGCCTCAAAAGTATGTCTAAAGTCAGCATCAAAATCCAGAAGCTTTTTGGCATAGACAAAGTTCTGGGAGAACTCCAGCACAGGAGCATGAAGGAATTCTCTGATGATTTGAAGAAGTTAATATTGAACCATCACATGGAAAAATTTCAACATCTGAGTAGCATATTGAGAAGTGAGACACAGGCTGAATCCACCAGATATGAGAGTGAGCTCAAAGCATTGTGCGCCTGCCGAGGGGACCGTGTGCTTAAAAGTTTAGAATTTTCGCATGATTTAATTTGGAGTGTAGAAGTAGATTTCGACCATTGCTACAGATCTCTGCCACCACTCTGACCCTGATGAAGCCCAAAAAGATAACTGCGAAATAAGCAGGCAGCTATCACACTATACGCTGTATCTCTTAGTCATGCGTCCTTTCATGTTGCCAATGGGGATTGGAAAGATCAGATATCTTGATACTGATCTTTGAGGTGATATCCAAACTTCCAATGGCAGGGCTCAGAATTCCTGGCTTTTGACAATCAATCCTTTCAGCAAAGGGACGTCAAAGCTAGATGAAAAAAAAGCATGCGAGGTTGTTGTGTATGGTCCCACACCATGTGATGGTGGGACCATCACATTAAATGTCATGTGATGGCTGTCTCTTGGTGTTAATATTAGTGTGGTTCGGGTACTGTAGCAACAGATTTGAAATTAGAAGAGAGGAGAAAAAAATCAAGAGAGAAAAGGAGAAGAAAAGACAGCAGAGCAGCCTTCATTCTTTTTTCGATTTCCAGCTCGTTCACCGTTGAATCGGGCTGAGATTTTGACAGAAGCTTCTAGACACGTTGATCTTCATTCTGAACGGTTGGATCGAAGATTGGTGGTGTGGAAGCTGACCGTTTTGACAGAAAACGGGGCTGTCAGTTTTGTGAGTTTTTCTCAAATAATTCTCCTTTAATCTTGTTGTAATCCAAGAATAAGTTGTTCTTGATGATATATATGTTGTATCCCTTGGTTGAATCTGAGGAAGAATGATTGTGAACCCATTATTTGTTGATAGTGGAAGTTTTTAGGTGGACTACGGTCCCGTGGTTTTTCCCGCATCGGGTTTTCCATGTTAAAAATTTTGGTGTTGATTTTGTGATTATTTGCATTATTTTTCATCATTGTTTGATTCTGTTTTACTGCACAATGAGAGAAAAAATTGGGACTTGTGAATTGTAATTGTATTCCGCTGAATTGATCCGGGTAAATTGGTGTTCGGTTGTTCCGAGTTTTCCCAACAGAGGTGTTGCTCAATATGAACACAGTAGTCCCACCAGTCAAAGTAAAAGGCGACAGAAGCAAACCGGTGCTATTCGACGCGTGCAGGCTTGCATCACAGTTGCGAAAATTATCAGATGACAAAGGTGAAAAATGGAAGCTAATTGGTAATGTTTGGGTGGAAATGATGGCTTATGCAGCTAGATGTTGTAGTGAACATGATCATGCTCGGCAATTGGGACAAGGCGGCGAACTTCTCACTCTTGTTTGGCTCCTGATAGCACATTTTGGTTTAACGGAGCAGTTTCAGATATCCCAGGGTCATGCAAGGGCTAAGCTCAGCGTGCGATAGAGGCACTGGTACTGCCAAGCCCAAGAGGAACACTAGTATATTATCTCAATAAATTAATGGTTGATTTCAGCTTTGCAATTTCCTTTCCTTTTCTGGTTTAGTGATTTGACGTTTGTCCTTTGCCCTTTGCTCCCCCCTGGGAACTTAAATTAATCTCTGTAATAATCAGACAATGTTTCCATGCCCTCGTTAACAATTTATGCGGTTTGCTGGTGTGGATATTACTCTCCAAAACTAATTCCAATAATTACAACAGCAGAATTTAATCAACCACCGAAAACTTTCGATATCATAATGCGATCGAAGGCAAAGAAGTCATACCCTTTGAAGGAAAGGGAAGTCCTTCCTCAACCTTGTGACCCTCCAAATAAAAATCCGACAATTATTGGTTTGTGACGGGACATTATTTATACATGAAGAAGGAAGAAAGGAGGTCCAATCGCAGGAGAAGAAGAGGAGAGAAGGAAGAGGCCCAACCGGGAGGGAAAGGAGAGAAGTACAAAAGGAAAGAAATAGGCCCAATAAAGAAAGAAGAGGAAGAGAAGAGGAGGATAGAAGGCCCAACAAGCTCAACTGCGCCAGGAACAGAAGGAAATAAAAGAGAAGAGAATGGCCTAATAGGGCCCAACCAACTTAACCAGGCCCAAAAGAATACATGACTAGTGTATGGGATGGAGTATATAAATACCAAAGCTTCTAGGTCTTCTACAGATGGGTTTTAATTAGGGGTATTGTTATAGAACAAATGACTTAAATATTTTGATCAGAAGTATTTAGGGACAAACGAAAATAAAAGGCAGATCAATCTTTTTGGGATGGAGGGAGCATTGCTTTATTCCAAAAAAATGTTGTTTTTTGTCATCAATCTTTCCATAATATTTATTTTTCACTTTTTTTATTTTAAAATAAAAATAAATTGCAAAAGAATATGAATGAAGAAATAATTAGTTTGAAATAAAAGAAACTAATTAATTTATTTCCCAAAACTAAAGAGACTAATTTATAATTTATATAAACATATTTTTTTGTGTTATCATATAATTTTTTTATAAACAAACGACATTGAAGATATCTTATTGCCACTACTTTTTTTTCTGATCACCTCTGATAATAAGAAAATCAAGATCTTTGTTTTTTAGACCAAAAAAAATATAATTTTAGCTTTTTTTTACATAAAAACATTATTTAAACCTTAAAAAACATCTTAACAACCCCAGAACACCTTAAAATTACTCTCTAAAATAAAAATTAACTTAATCAAAATAAACTAAATATATTCTAATTTACTTTTCCAACTATATTTAGAGAGAGAAACCAAATGTCTATTTTGAATTAGATTGGGCTTTCAAAGAATTTAATTTACTGTTGGACCCAAATCGTCCTGCTGTGTGAGAAAAAAATGTTCTCATTTTAACCATCTAGGTGGTGGTCAAGTGGTAAGAACTTGGGATTAAGGGGTTTGCTCCCTCTGTGGTCTCAGGTTCGAATCCTTGGTTGCTCATATGATGGCCACTGGAGGCTTACATGGTCGTTAACTTCAGACAAGAAAATGATATTTGGGTTTATCTTATATTACTTTGAGATTATTTTAAGCTGTTTGATAATATAGTTATGCTTATTTTTTAAATAATATTTTGTATTAAAATATATAATAATAATGTTTTTTATTTTTTAAAAAATATTTTTTACATTAGTATATTAAAATAATTCGAAAATATTAAAAATATATTAATGTAAAGTAAATAAAATAATTTAAATAATTTAAATTTTTTTAAAAAAATTTAAATCATAAAAACAAGCATTTTATATGTTTAGTCGTAGGGAGGACAACCGATTTTCCACGAGGGACATTATTGTCATGCTCTCTCGTGGTACACAAAGCTTGAAGTACTCAATCAGTGAAGGTATAGGAAATAGTGACTCTTCCAAGTACCTGACCGTAGATTATAATTTCAAAGCACGCTTTTGGTTTTACTTTGAATTATTTATCGGATACTGCTTCAAAATTCAGCTTCGATCAACCCGTGTATACAGTGCTCTGGCGATTGCAACTCGGAAAGGATAAGAAAATTCCATCTTTCAATCAGATCAGCATAAAAAACAGATTGATTCTTTAACGAAAAAATAACTTCCGTCTCTATTGGTGATCTTGCCTTTGAAGCAACAATACGATAAGATTCATCTTCTTTTGACCCCTACACTAAGGAAAAGAGTTATATGTATCTTCTATGACAAAGTTCCTCTAATAGAATCCATACATCTACTAAGTATATAATTCAAATCAAAATAAAAGGTGATGAGTTTTAAAATTCAAAATATTTAAGAATAAAGGTAATGTATTAAATAATCAATTAATTTATTAGTTCAAATTAACAATTTAATTAAATTTTTTTAATTAAGATATTTGGTAACTTAATAAGAAATATTCATGTAGTTAATAGTTGATAATTGGTGGTATCTTATAAGCCAAGATGGCTGGAAATTTAAAAGTCAAGTAACTGGTAATTGATATTTGTAAAAAAAAAATTTAATAACATAGAGATATTCATCTATTTAAATTAGTAAATTTATAGAAAGAAAAAATATAATAATATTTTAAAGAAATAAACTCTAAAACATATATCTTGAAGGTATTAAAAATAAAAGGATCATAACTTTTTAGTTTGAAGTATCTATAATGTATTTATAATTTATTAACCTTGTTTTAGTTTTATGTCGGTGCACCCATTAGACCAAAACTATGAAGTGAAGTTAAAAGTCACTCGGGCAATAGTCTAAGGATTGCATTTAACAAAAAATTCCAAGAATAAATATAGTATATTTATCAGTTATATTTTATAAAATAAAGATTTTCAACACTTAACAAAAAAATTTAAGTACAAAATAAAGATTGTTCAAGGCTTTACTTGTAGATATACATAAAAAATAC